CATTTTTACAAACCAGTTCTGGTTCATCCGTTTCATTCAACAGTCCACTTTCGTCCTTCTCATTTTCCATTGCTGTCATACTTTTTCCGCCATGTGCGTATGAAAACAAAGGCACTGCGCATGTGCGTTTTACTCAATCGCGTTATTTCCTTTTATCGTTGCCTAACATTATACCAGCATTACCGTGAGCGGTATGATATGGCCCAGCTCTACTAAAGGGCGTTAAAGTTTCATTGCAGGTTCATCGACCCAAGGAGTAAAATTTAAATACTTGAATGCTTTTATATTTGTCACTGACTTAGTGCTTCTCACCTGTCCTCATCTTCAGGTGCGAGCGAGGTCGTCGCCATCATGATCCCGGAGCCAAAAGGCCGCGAGATCGTATCGCTGTTGGAACGAAATGTGACGGTCACCATGACGATCACCATCGGGACGAGGAACCTGCAGAAGTACGTGAGCAGGACGTCGGTGGTGTTCGTATCGATCTCCTTCATCGTGCTGATGATCATCTCCCTTGCCTGGCTCGTCTTCTACTACATCCAGAGGTTCAGATACGCCAACGCGCGGGACCGGAACCAGGTGCGAACACGGGTCTGCGTCTCCTGCTGTTCTGCTTAGTTTATGAAGACAGAAGGAACAGCATCATATAACTAGAGCCTATGTTAATGAGGTGGTTCAGAAGAAGAGGTTTATCTTTTACAGTATAAGAGTAAATACTTACATTTTTAGCACTTTGAAACTTTGAAAATGTGTCGTCAGTAATGTAGTTCATCTCTGCTGAATAACGAGCCCATTATTGGAAAGTGTTCTGTTTTCAGCTTGTAAAACATGAATCACATTTTACAAGCTCAAAGTAAAGACTCACTGTGTCTCTCCAGCGGCGTCTTGGTGACGCAGCGAAGAAGGCCATCAGTAAGCTGCAGCTTCGCACCATCAGGAAGGGCGACCAGGAGACCGAGCCCGACTTTGACAACTGCGCCGTCTGCATCGAGGGCTATAAGGCCAACGACGTGGTCCGCATCCTGCCCTGCAGGTAACCACAGCCTCAGAAACACCTCACGCAAATGTGGAAGTAAGGACTGAAGGATGGGGATCGTATTATGTTTGAGGACTGAGTGCTGCGTTTGAATGAAGACCTTCAGGATAGTATCTTCTATACAGTGCCAATTATTCTTTTTTTTCTTTTTGGTGGGGGCTCTTTAGCTAATTTAGTATTTTCACGGTGTTTTTGAGTCAGTTGGTGTTCGTGAGGCCACTGTAACCTGCAGGAGCTTAGCTGCCACAGAACAAACAGTCATCGAGACTGAAAAAGACCTCAGAGAGTCTCCTGACGTCTTCACGCTGTAGCTGTCGCAGGTTATCAGCTCAGTGTTAGTCTGTGCAGGGAAATGACTCAGAGCTGACACGACTGTTAGACAGGGATGGTGTGTTTGGGTTACTGAAAACAGCTGATTTTTAATGCTTTATTTGCTGGTGGGTTGCGCTGTCTATAAGAATATACCATGTTTTAACTAGCAGTGATGTGAATAATCTATATCAGTGAAATAATTACAAAGTAATTACTTAGTGCTTTGAAATAAATATAGTGCTGCAGGTGTCAGTGCTAGAAAGAGGAGGACAATGATTAGAAGACGTTTAATAGTAATGGAAACTAAATAAGACAGCTGTGGTTTTAACTTCTTCTCACTTCAGTTGGGCTGTTTCTGCAACACATAGTGGGCTTGGATAGATGAAACAAGGCCTTTCTTCATGTTTACTGGTTTGTGCTGCTGCTGTCGACTACAGGAAAAACATGTTGGCTCCACTGCGGCTCACTGACTGTTTTTTCTGCTTGTGTGTCAGACTACACAGTCCCACCAGAAACTGTGACTGCATCAGTCTTTGTTGTGATATTAACCTTTTTTCTTGACAACAGCTGAGCCTGCGGGGCTACACTTTAGCCCTTAGGCTGGTTAGCAACCAGCTGACAACCTACGGTGACAAGAGGAAAGAGGGATTTCTGGTGATATTCAGATGAATTCTGTTGCACCAAAACTCTGCTTTTGAATGCTTTAATCACAAGCAGGTTGCCACAGTCGTCTGTAGTGTCCTTGTCTACAAACACTCTGCATTTCACTATTTGAGCTGTAATGAAACTGGAAAAACTTGGACTTCAAGGTAAAAGTTGTGCCTTACTGTTAAAACCAACACTTTTAAAAGGGTCAGCTTTTACTTTGAAGGCCACTGGCATCTTATCCCTTTTTGTATTGCACTTCTGACTTTTTCACTATCACTCGATGAGTAGTTGCTGGATGTTTGCAGCCAAATCAGCAATCTGCAACAGTCGGCGACATGTACTGCTAAATGCATTTTACAGTCCTTGTACAAAGAAGAATACCTGTTTTATGTTATGAGGGTCACTAAACAGTCTGTTAACCTACAGTATCCTCATGTGATTGATTCTAATGTGAAAATACTTTAAAAATATAAATAAAATTAATTATTGCGGGTTCAGCCTCCTTTAGTTGCTTCACAAGTAAAGCTGTTGTGGACTCTGATGGAAACCCCGTCACTGACCAAGGTGGGCTTTAACTTGAGCATCAGGCTGTTGTCTGTGCTGAACCCTGGCATGTAGAATTTTATCTTTCTTTGTGAAAATGAGGGACAACTGAGAGAAGAACAACAAGCATCCAAATATTTAAAGACAATGATGACCATCACTGGTAAACTGTTCAAATACCAGCCAGAAAACGCCCTGTCGAGTGTTTGTTGTTCAGCCGAACTTGTTGAATGGAAGCCGTGATCGTTGCGGGCAGAGTCGACCTTTTTATTACATTGTTGCCAGTCTTGTTTTCATGTGATCACAAAACCACTTTGTGCCGATGGAAGCTGCTGAGTTGAGCTCAGGGCAGATTGTTTTCTTGTGATCAGAGGAAATGTATTTTTGGTTGTGACTACAATGACTATTTGTTTTGACCTCACAACACTCTGGCTGTGCGGCGCACTGTATGAGATTACCAACCAAGTTTCATAAAGCATGTTTGCGCAGATTCTTGTGTGCCGGCGCTAAGTGAAAGCAGGTGTGATGTTTGTCTTTCCTTACAGCATTTTTCTAATGTTTTCAGATCCACAGTAGAACGACTGATTTCACCATATTTTATTGTTTTTCTTCTTTGCAGACATTTGTTTCATAAGAGCTGCGTAGATCCGTGGCTGCTGGACCACCGCACATGTCCCATGTGCAAGATGAACATCCTGAAAGCTCTGGGCATCGCTGTGAGTGTGAAACTGGGTTTTATATTTCCTAGAGTGAGCACAGAGCAGGATATGCAGCCCTGAAAGGAAGTGATTTTATAGTTTAGGACTGTACACGAATGTTATGACGTGTTTACGGCTGCTTAAATAACAGGTGATGATAATATCCTTCCTGGATCTTTTCATATATTGTCGCTGATCTGTCATAGCAGCCCCAAGTCATGCATCCTCTGATCTGTAATGGTAGCTGAAGATAAGACACAGGTGTCAAACATTGGGCTCGGGGGGCAGAATGAAGGCCGCAGTCCTACCCACTTTTCAGAGTGTGAAAATTGCAAAGAAGGAAATGAACTTTTTAGTGAGTTTTGTCCTTAAGAAGGGATCACGTCACAAAACTCCAAACTGTTAATTTAATCTAAGCCAGACGTCTGAATCATGCTCAGTTTTTACAGCCGTCTTACCGACAGAGACGTAACCCACTGTCTGTCTGCGCACACCAGAATGTGAGGTGTTTTCCATGAAAGTGTTCATCATCAGTTTTGGAAATGCATAATTCATTAAATGAATGTTTTCTGAGTCTGTTTCAACGTTCTCACTTCTAAAGAAAGACAGCGACTTGCAATTCTTTGAGACACTCGTCAGATAATATCCACTGTAGACCAGAAGTTGGGAAATTCCTCAAGCTGCAAGAAACAGTTGCAAAACAGAAAGTGTTCCTTTGTTCAAAAACTGAAGGGAGAAAACATACAATCCTGTATTCGATGACTGCGATTGAAATGATCCTTTAATAGCTTTACTAGAATTATTTCTTTTAAGGTTGTGTAAATGTTTTGAAGCTCTTCTCTGAACCGAGGGGTTTCTGCCATGCTTCAGGTCTGCTTAGAAACAAAATGACTAGGTTTGCATCAAGGGTTAGTGAGGGTGGTCTCTGCCTATGGAGCTACCCCTGGAGAAACCCAGAGCCTTTTCTAATGGTCATCAAACCATTAGACCACGTCTTTATTTAGATATTGTCAGTTGTCAAAAGTCGACTTTAAGGGTAAAAGCAAGGTCATCATCAAAGAGAGGAAAATACTTCATGCAAATGACAGGCTCTTTCTTTCTTCTCCTTCTTTAAAAAAAATACTGGAGTAGCTTTGAATGATTCACTCCAAATAATCCTCGTTTATCTTACACCGGGCTCTGGGCAGCTCCTCGGTCTCAAAGATCCACTTAGCTCAGCACCCTTCATGGACACGTCCCCGTCTCAGTTTTAATGACTGATTGCCGATTCCACTACCCAACCTGTTGATGCCGTTTATCATATTTCCCTTCAGACTGGTGTTTTTAACTATTATTTGTGTAGTGTTTCTTTTGTATTTTCTAACTATTATTGAGGCGTATTTCTCAAAATGAAGAAGCTTTAGTCCACCACCGCAACAACAGAAAAACACACAGTAAAAGTACAAACGGACATCTCAACCAAAGGTCACCCCACTGACTTACATCTGCCAAGAAAATCACGTTAACTTGTATCAGTGGATTTGTCTGACAGTTTGTTGTTAAAAACACACCATGGCCCGATGTTGGACCGGCCATTAAAGCAACAAAAATGAGTAGAAGCCTAGTAGAAAATGTTAAATACTGACAGTTATGTAATTGGTACTGGAACTGTTTACTACATTAGACATCTGTTTTGTATTGCGTTTAACATTTAGGTTGAATTTGTTCAGTAAAAATTGCTTTTATCATTTTCCAGTAAAAAAGTATTTTTTCTGTTTGTAACAAAACTCAGTCATTCAGACTGTGACCCTCAGTGTTCAGAGCTAAAACGTTTTTAAGCTTAGAAGTACAGGTTAGCTTGTGTCTCAGAACTAAGGTGTGAAGTCTGACATAGATCAAAGAAACTTTTAAAAATGGCTGTCACACATGTTGATTAGTTAGACCCTCACTGTATCGTAGGTAGAATGACACGATGTCAGTCGGCTCCTGGAGCGGGACAATCACACTGGTGTTCTTTCATGTCGCTCTGCTACAGCTGAACGCAGACTGTCTGGACGACCTGCCTCTGGACTACGACCTGGACCTGGGCCGTGTAAGTGGGGTGGGCGGCGTTGGGGTTCTGGCCCTAGAAGCTGTGGTGTCCGGGGCGTCCAGCGACGGCACGCTGAGCGAGGGCGGCTCCTCTGTTGTGCTGGACCCCGGCGTGCGGCGGGTCGGGCTCCCACAGGACTACCAGGACCCTGACACCCTGAGGGACAGCCCTGTGACCACCACCACGGACACCCACACAGGTGACTCTCACACTCCATCTGATAAGTGCTCGTACACTGACACCCAGTGGTGTCTGTGCCCCATAACTCGCTTCAGTCATGGCTACTGCAGTCACACTGACTATGTGATGCATCTTTACCCTGATCACATTAAACTTCCTCTTTATTTCATAATGAGGAAGTTTAAGTGACTGCAAAAGAGGAAGCAGAAATACAATTTTAGCTTAATTTTATTGAATGAAAGGTCCCCATACCAACCATGCTACAAACTATTATAGAAACATAAAGCTAATGTGACACTTTTGGCAGAAGTTTGGGGATGTTTTCATTTCTCTGTAGAAAAACGTTCTCTTGTCTTGTCCTGGAAGTATTACTGCCATGTCTGTGTCATGCCTTAATGTCATCCTTTCTAACATTCTTTCGACTGGTTCTTATATAGCACTATTCTGCTCTACTTGAGCACTCAAAGCAGTCTATACACAACACTCACCTACTCACACTTACAGTTATGTAAGCAGTTTTTTCTACTTCTAAGTGCTTTCTAACATTCATACTCCAATGAACACATCAGGGGCAACTTGGTTTTCAGTGTCTTGCCCAAGGATACTTTAGCATCCAGACTGGAGCAGGGCTCAAACCACCAACCTGCCAATTAGATGACCTGCCTGAAGTCCTGAGCCACAGACATTAACACAGTCTTAATTCTAGGTTCTGTTTAGCAAAACCGAGATTAGATTGCTCTCAAATGTCTTTGCATTGTTATTGTAGACTAGAACAGCTGGCTTCACCTGGCCAAGTTTGAATTGAACTTCTTTATCGTTATTATTGGAAGGAGTTTCACACAAGACTTTCAGACAACCGTGAAACTGAAAAGAGCGAACCCTCTCTGTAATCTGAATTAAAAACAAAAGTTACGTCTCCAGAAACTCAGGAATAGCCCTCTTTTTCTCTCTTTCAGGTGAGCTTCAGCCAATGGCGAGCAGCGCCTCAGTGGCATCATTTGTCATCGCTGTGGAAACGGGTCTGTCAGACGAGGAAGTGTCCTTGGAGCAACCTCAGTTGGTGGACAAGTCCTGAGAGCAGCACAGCAGAACCTAACCAGAATCGGCCCAAACCAGGCTCTAATCAGGTTCAGATTAGATAAATAACAGACCTGACTGTTATATTTAAAAAAACAAAAACAAAATGATGAAAAAGAAAAAAATATCTGAACCAAACCTGACCGCATTCGACTGAGCAAAACCTGAGCTAGGCCTGGGATCTGGTTCTGGTTTTCTCTGGTTCCAAGTGGATGCTAAAACCCAGATCCAGCACCAGGGTTCTTCTTGGCTCTTCTACATGGATATGTGATACATGATTTCGCCAAACCAACTTGTCTGGACCAGACGTATTGAAACTAAGTGGGCCTTTTCCAGTGTGTTCACCTCAGTCCTTTCCTTGGTTCTCGAGTTAACCAGGATTTTTCTCCAGTGCAACTCAGTCTACAGATGTCTTGGTTAAATCCAGTTCTGCCTCAGTCAGACTTGCATCTTGTTATCCTTACAAACCTTTCATTGACCCTGACAAGCTTCCGCAGTATAGATCGAGTCCTTCATTTCAAGACTGTTTTTTTTGTCTCCTGACTTTGAGGACTTCCAAGAAGCAGTAGGCTGTATTTCTGTATGCAGTCCGTGAATATAGATTAAGCTTTTGTTCTGTAACTTTTCTCTGGATCTCCTGGAATATTCTCTTTTACCTGGTTTTCCCGAATAGGGAAGCACAACAGCAAAAACCAATCATGATGGACTGCTCGCTTCCTCTCCAGGTTCGCATTATTGGAAAACTCTGTTAAATAAGCTTATTTTAATTTGCCTGCCAAAAGGCCAGGCAGAGCCTGTTCCCTGATGTGTGTGTGTGAGTATCTGTGGTGGATGATTTACATTTTGCAAAGGTGGACATTTACTTTGAAAGGACACAAGCTACTCTGAGCAGTGGTTTTCTTTAGTCTGTAGTTTATGTAAAGAGGTAGCTTTGTCCTGAAATAATTACTACCACAGTTTGACTGCAGTTTGAACAGCAATTACACACAGTATTGTTTCCTTTTAATCGCCCCCCTCTTTTTCCCTGTCTGTGTTATTCTAGGCTTTGTTATCTTAACAATACTCTGACAGTATTTAGTTTGGTTGCTTTCTGTCCACAGTTGGGTTTCCAAACAGGGTTCCTATGTTTGCCTGCAAGAGCGATGACATTTAAACCACTTTTTCCCATTTTTTTTTATTTGTTTGTAGATTACAGGGCTCCACAGAAAATTAGAGGATTGATATGGTCTGGCCTTTCTGTACAAGAAGTGCATATGGAGGCAATAAATCCTGCACCTTGGGTAATCGGGTCGATAGACATCCCGTCATAATGTATCAATCATCTTTCGAAATATTTAAAACGCTTCCAATGCTGAGCAGAAACATTTCTGTCGATCCTTTGTTGTGTTAACCCGAGATAACCGTTTGAACCATCTGCATGGCCTACACATGCAACTTTTATTCTCAGCAAAACAATCAATGTGTGCACATGTCAGCTCTGGTCTGTTCTGATAAAGTGGACAGAAAGAATGAAGAGGAGTCAGTTTAGTTCAGACTGTATTTTTGTCCACATGTCAAATTCCATTTTCTTGATACGAGTTATGCAGAAAATTGCAATAAATTAATTAAGAGGGATCCAGTCAGACCTTAGAAGCTGAAAACAATTTCAGAAAATGGGATGAAAATGTGACAGTTTTGAGATTTCTTCTTCAAACCCATAATCACAAAATAAAAGTGCAATAAAGATGGCTGTCGAGTCCATAGTCAGTGCCAGTTTTTTTCCACATACGCCATTTGGAAAATTTCTATCACCAAAGTGCACGAGAGGGAAGTTTAAAAACTCCAACGCTTGCAGTTGCTGTGCTATGTTACTTTAACATCAGATGTTCGAGTTGGGATCCAAGCTTAGAGTTGACCGCGCTGTAGTCGTCTGAATGACAGGCTTATTTTGTTCCCTAGCAAGGTAGAGTTATTTGGCCACAAACAGTGGATTTGCAATCTCCGACTTCCCTGAGGTGGTCTAACTGAGGTGTGAACTTGAGATTTTCAGCTTCAGGTGGAACACAGCACGCGGCCGGTCTGTTGTGGTTTGTGGCCTCTGACGAACTCGGATGTTGGAGATTCCTACGTTTTGTTGCAATTTTTGCACTGATCATTTGTGCAATTAATGTAGAACTGATTTTAATTGGGAACAAGATATCAAAGTCTGCCCACCCTTTAAGGTACACAGTGAACACTTCCCTTGTCCTTCTTCCGTCACCTTAACCTTAGCTAAGCAAACTCTCTGTGGCAGTCATACATCCAAATGCCACGTAGGAACCCTGTCTATAGCGTTGCCTTGTTTTGTTTGACTGTCCAGCCGTCTGTCCGTCTGCCTGACCACACGTGTCTGTTACCATGGCCTCATGCTGCCTTTTTTTTTTTTTTTTAAAGACACATTTACCTTTAACCCTGACAATCAAGGATTGGGTCCTTTACTTGCTAGTCAGGGATCCTCTCTCTGAACCTTAGGAAACCTAAGAAGCGCTTTCAAATCTGCAGTCAACACACCACACAGTAGAGGTTAGATGCTATTACTACTTCCACAGATCAAGAAATTATCACCACCTCCTGTGAATTAAAGTACCTGGGATAGAGAAATCCTTTTAGAGCTTTAGAGACAGATTTGTGGAAACGCGTTTCATCAGGATGTGTTCGTCAGCTCGAAGCCGAACATGTAAATAAGTATATAACACAAGTCCACTTTGCCACGTGGCATCACTGTCAGTTTGTCAAATTGGTACGCAGACTGTGTAGGGCTGCGGTCGCATTGTGGTGTCGGTGGCTCCACAAGGTTCCCGAAAATGAGAAAGATGAAAGATTGTCGTCTATTTTGATACCAGAGGAGACATTTATTTTTGTAAAAAAGACTGATTTCCTTCCCACTCTCCCGAGTCTACCTGTTGCCTGGATGATTCTCAATGTGATTGAGCATTGACCGATTATTAATGATTATTTGTATAATTGTACATACACATAGTTTGCAAAGGACCTTGATGCTATGAGCCTAAACTGTTGTTATTATGCTTCTCTGTAAAAGGTTTTTGGGTTTTGTTTTTTTCTCCTCTTTGCTGTAACCTGATGAAAAATGAGAGAAATGAGACCAAAGGGCAGACTGGAAAACCAGCGCTATACTGGTCCACCAGGCAAACTGGATCTTATGAGAACTTCCAATGCTCAAATAAGAAGACATAATAAATATAAATGTTGTGCAATGAAAAAATAAAATATTCTCCTAACAAGGCTAAATTTAAGTGGTGTGTTTACTGTTTACTTGTACTTTAAAACTAATTAAAAGCAAATGTAATTTGGAGTTTTCTGATGAGCAGACTGATATTTGGACATTCAAGCTGGTACAAATTTGCAGGAATCAAAGACACAGTGGTTGTGTGTTGCGGTCTTCAGTCCTCCCAGTGGCTTCTTTTTCTCTCAGATTCTCAATGAAACCGAATTTATGTTGTGAAATTCTCCGACTTTGCTTCCAAGACTTCACCTTTCCTGTGTCTTCATGGTTCAGCTTCAAACCTGAGAATTAGTCCACACTAAGATCCACCAGTCACCAAGTATCCTGTTAACACTGGCTGACTGACTCTAGAACGGTCGAGGGCTGATAACACATGAAGACGATTGATTTGTATGCCTTGTCCTCCTGGCCTGTTTTCAGTGAGTGATGTTTTAATTAAAGTTGCTTTGTGTTATAAGCTTGAACTGCGTATCAATATTTGCACTTTCGTCCTCTTCCTGTGTGACTGCTGCCATACAGTGGAAGTGAGCTGAACTCGAGCCTACTTTGAATCAGCTTCTCTTTTCTTTTTGTAGTAGAGACTAATGCTGCTGTGGCGTAATGTTCGCCCACAGAACATATAATGGAGGATAGACCTCAGGCTTCATAAGGGGCTGTGAGGAAAGACTCAAGATGGTCCAGAATGAACGTGGTCCACTGGAGCTTTTCATTTTCAATAGATACAGTATAGGTTGGTTTGTTTTTGTTTTTTTTAATATCTTTTATGGGTGTTAGTTGTAATGAAATAACTTTAAAGCACCATGAGCTGTTTTAAAACATCCAAAATTTAGATTTTTAAGGATGGAAGAGCAGCAGCAGAATTTCTGGCAGCACCATATTAATAGCCTCTTAAAGGCCCTGCCGTCATGTACCCAAATGTTTAGAGAAATATCTATTCATTTTATGTAAATGGCATTTTAGGTCACAGAAAACTGAACTTTTATTAAATAAATAAATAAAAGCAGGATTTCTGCTTTTAGGTGTTGAGAAGAAAAACAGACTTTGTCTTTTGGCATCATCATGTACTTCTGATCCCCTGTTTCGACGTCAGATCGGCCACTTTTTTATAAAATTCGGGTGATATCACCACGGGTTACTTTGGCATGCTCTCGACAGCGGCTCGGCCTTTTCATAGGAAGGAGAATATTTTTTTAGATTAATAGATAAAAAAATAAAAATAACTGTGCATGCAGTGCTTTACATTTTTTTAAATTTTGCATTATCACTAGAGTCAAAAAGTATTTTAAATGATGCCCACCTTTCATTTCCCATTAATACATTATTTCAAATTAAGAAATATTTGGGAAAATTAAGTTTTCTTGCTCACATTAAATTTAATATGAATGCTTTAATAAAGATTATTTCCTAATTAAAAATGATGACTTGATTCATCATCAGACAGGGAACAAAACCCGAAAACTTCTGGAGCTTTGACATTTCCTGCTGTTGAAGACATGGACAGAAAATTGCAACTCTCGTTTTGGACCTACGTTTTAATTAATAATACATTTTTGTAATCAGCTTCATGTAATTATTTGAGAATACAAAAGAAACAAAGTAATCTCAATAAACTTGCTTTTTGTGATCACAAAGGTTTAATTTAGAGGTAATCATCTAACTATGAGAATGTTGCACATTGATGTGAAATGGTGAAGACTACCAATCATAAATGAGATTAGAGGCTGTGATTCCACGATACAAACCTTGTGATTGGCAGTAATTATACGTATAACACGGGGAAGTTGAGGTCCTTTAGAAGACTGACGGGGGGAAAAGGAGTTTTTCAAAAAGTCAAAGGGGGGACTGTTGTGTCACTGCCAGTAATGACGTCCGATTGGCTCTTTTGTTTAGGTATTTTTCTTGTACGCTGTGGTTTGATTGGTTGCCCAGTTTTTGTTTTTTTTGTTTCCCCCCCCCCCTTCTCGCGTTGCATTTGTTTGGCTTCTTTACAAAAGTCTTCTCCTTCTTCTTCAACTTTACCTCACTTCTGTTTTGTGTCTTTCCATGTTTCCTGCTTCTGTTTTTGCCTTTTTTGTTATCTGCTCTTTTAGATTTTGTGACTTTTTGTTCCAAGTCCCTAACCTTCTTTTTATTTTTTCAGGACAGAATTTCCCCAGGTTTTTGTTTCAGTTATATACTAAACAAAACCCAAACCAAACCATGCATTCGCCAAACAGACGAAACCCCTCACCTTCTAATGTTGATCTGTGCATCCAGATGTTATAGTTGGTTTAATGCATGCAATAAGGTGTTATTATTTAGATGGCCCGTTGGTGGTTTTCAAGTCTGAACAAGGACAATAGCCAACATTAGTATCTCTAATACAAAGAGTTAGTACCATATAATTTTTATTTTCCTTCATTTTACTGGTTTGGTTTGTTTCCTGCTTTTCAAGTGAATAGTATTGTTTACAAAACACATAATCCAGTTAACTATTTTTA